GGGTTTTACAAGAATAATTCTAGATGGGGGTCAGGTAAGTTGAGAAGTGGTCAGTGGAATGTAAAGAGATCAAACAAATGTATATAAAGCTGGTAAACATGGGATTACACCTACATGATCACACAGGACTATGGTTAATCTGTGGCTGAGAGATTCAGCAGTGTTTCTGAACTATTGAAAGATAGCCAATGAAACTGAAGAACCTTAACATACATGAGAGGTATGGGTGGGGTCTGACTGATGGAGAAGTCCAGGAGGGAGAAGGGAGAAGGTGAGGCCTAGGGTGAAGCTTTAGGTCAAAGTGGGAGGAGCCATGTTTTCCCAGGGCACAAAGAGAGCAGTTAAGGGCCTTCACATACACTGATAAGCTGAATGTTGTCTTCTCTGAAGAGGAATCGGGACCACCCAAAAACAGTGAAGTTCAGGTGCTCAGAAGAATGGCCTTGTGTGACTAGGACCAGGACAAAATGCCATTGTAGTATGGAATTGACAGTGTTAGAGGCTTGAAATTTTTGAGCTTTTGAACTGTTCTGCTCACCATTTTTCAGTTGAGAGAATAAAACCTCACTTGGATAGGAGAAATTAATATATTCAGAGTTAATAATGATCATAAGGAGCATTGTAAATATCCTGAGGACCGTCAGGAGGGCTGGGGCAGAGTGCAGCCCGGGCCAGATTTTTTTCTCAGTAGAATTAGGAAAGGAAGAAAAATCAAGAGGAATATGAGAGAGGAGAGTTGGAGTGAAGTAAATAGAAGTTTTAATTGATAGCCATAGCGTCACAGATACCTCTGACACAATTAGAGCTATAAATTTTAAGGTAGAGTAAATAAATTTTATAGGTGGATAATTTTTTATTGCATATTGTTTAATAATGTGATAGTATGTCAATATTAACTTTTTAAAATAAATTTTATTTTTTTTACATTAATTACATTTTATTTGCTCTGTATCCCAGCTGTAGCCCCCTCACTCATTCCCTCCCAATCCCAACCTCCATCCCTCATCTCCACCCTTTCTCCCTCATTTCCACCCTGGCCCTTTCCAAGTCCACTGCTAGGGGAGATCCTCCTCCCCTTCTATCTGACCCTAGCCTATCAGGTTATCAGATCTCATCAAGACTGGCTGCAATGCAGGTGAATAATTTTTAAGGAATAAAAATACTTGTGCAAAAATCTCAAGTTAAACCATCCCTGGAATTAGAAAGTAACCCAGAGGTGAGAGGAAACTCACCTCTGACACTGTCTGGAGGGTCAGAACCCAGAAGCTGTATAGCCCAGAGACCTAGGAGAGAACCAAACATGGCTGGAAAAAAAGGCAATGAAATGATTCTTAATTATACTCCCCTATACTCATAGATTGGTGCCTAGCTCAGTGGTCATCAGAGAGGCCTCATCCAGCAACTAATGGAAACAGATGCAGAGACTTACAGCTAAACATTAAGCAGAACTCGGGAAATCCTGTGGAAGAGGAAGAAAAACGATTGTAGGAGCCAGGGGTCAAGGATGGCACAAGAAACCCCACAGAATCCACTAACCTGGCCTTGTAGGGTCCTACTGAGACTGAACCTACAACCAGAGAGCCTGCATGGGCCTCACCTAGGCCCTCTGCACATATGTTACAGTTCTGTAGCTTGATCTTCTTGTGGGACTCCTAACAGTGGGAGGAGGCGCTGTCTCCAAATCTTGTGCCTACTTTTGGGATCTCTTTCCTCATACTGGGTTGTCTGATCCAGCCTTCATTCGAGGGAAGATACCTAGTCTTACTTGATAGGCCATGTTTGCTTGGTATCTAGTGAAGCCAGCCCTTTTCTGAAAAGAAAGGAGGAGTGGATGGGGTTAGACAGAGAACAGGGGAGGGGGGACTCAGCAGAAAGGAGGGAGGGGAAACTGAAGACAGGTTGCATATATTAAGTAAACAAGTAAGAGTGAAAAAATTCAGGAAGGAAGTGAGTAGAGCTCAGGTGAGTAGGAGGAAGGCAAGTACGGATTCTCTCAAGGCTGTATCATGCATCTTTACTGAAAGACAGGAATTAATAACCATCAGTCAACTGTGTTCAAGTCTGCTGAGTGCAGAACTGAGGGAGAAAGGTGTTCACCACAGTGGCTTTTTCACCTCCTCCCCCTTCTATCTCTCTACCTTCATTCTCTTTCTTGAAGCAAGTACAGTATCATCTATTGGCTTTTTGATGACTTCAAAATGTTCTGTTTGAGCATAATTATTAACACCTTTTTTACTCAAAGTGCGATGGGAAATTCTGCTGTGTTTTTCTGTGTCTCTTGTCCTTTTGTAGAAACAGCTCTGAAGTTAAAACAAAAGCTGAAGTTATGGGACTTAATAAAATGTCCATTTATTCACTATTTTTGTTTAGTGATGTGGTTAGTAATTCAGGCCTGATTCCATTACAATAAAACTGTACAGCAAAGAATAATTATCTTTAAGTTGTTATTTAAAATGTTGTAAACTCAAATAACGTAATTGAGTCATATCTTATAGCTAGGTTAGGCGCAGTCTGCTTTGCTCTATCAGGAATCAGTCTCTTTATAGAGGGTTGCCAATACTTATTAGAAATGAATGTACATGACACCATGAAAGTGCTTGCAAGGTGTGATAGCATCCAGCATGGAGTATAGACTCTGTCAAGCCATGAATGCAGGGTAGACCCTTGCAGTGTTTCAACTGTGGAAAGATAGGCAACACATTCTAGGAACATCTGTTTATCCTATATCAGCAACCCTCTACTGAGCTCTGTAACACCCTAAGCATTGTACTCCATGCCCCATATAAGAGAAATGAATTTGAAGTTTATCCTATTGCAGTGCGTCATTGACATGTAACTGTATGGCATTACGATAAAACCATATGGATAGGTAGCATCATGGGGGACTTTGGGTGTGAATGTCACTATAAATGCACATCATTTCTACTCTTTTCTAAAAGTCCTTTAAGAACATGGCACACAGAGGACAAAGATGTAAACTCCATTAAGCTAAGAGACATCTACCAAAGATATTTTTTCAGGGTTGCTTAGGGGAGTCAAGATGAAATAGGTTTAAAGGAAAAAGGAGAAAGCAATTTAAGAGACCCCAGCAAGAGCAGGTCAGAAGAATCAGCACACAGGCACCTACAGAGAAGAGCACAAGTAGACACGGGAAAGAGACAGCTATTGTTTGTAATGGGGGAGGGCTTCTGAGACCCTCTTGGACAAAGGCCGGTTCATGGAAGCAGAATACATGGGATGCTCGTGAAAGAGTTTAAGAAGCCATGACTGAGCAGAGCAGCAGTTTGTGGAGGTGTGAGAGGAGTGGCTTTGTTTGTGAAGAACTTGCTGGAATCTTACCTTCTATTCTACTTGTCCTGTGGAGACACTCTGGCCGAGAGCAATCTTGGAAAACCTAACTCATAACAGTATTTTTAAAGGATCAACTAACACACCTGTTTTTATTTTGAGGCTGTAAAACAAAACCTATTAAAAAGTTAAAAATCCATTATCTGAAGTGTGTGAGCTGAAAAGCAGCATGGTTCTTCCCTAGGGACCTGGATTCAGCATTTGGGATGGGTGCTTTGGGACAGAAACTTAAAGGATGAATGGGATTTAACAAAGAGATGAGGCTGCGCAGGACCATCCAGGCCAAAGACATGGGTTGTCCAGAGATACAGGGAGGAGCATTGACTGCATGAAGGCAAGAGGGTGGCAGAGAGATGGGAAGTGGCCAAGATCGGGGTGGAGGGCAGTAGAAAACAGCTCATGAGCCACATAGGGGTAGTGAGTTTGCACTCAATCTGAATTGGAAGTCTGTGTGCCAAGCCAAGCACCTGAGGCTCAGCAACAGTACCACCTTCCAGGGTAGCACTTCTCCACCCTGACTGCATATCAGAGCCACTTGCAGAACACTAGAAGATGTGCTGCTGGTCCCCACCCCCAGTAACTGGATTAGAATTCCATGTGGAAGGATATGCCATAATTTTCAGAGGCTTATCTGAGGATTCTGATAATACGTATACAAATTTGATTGTCACGCTCTCTTCTCAATTTTATTTTTGAATTTAGTTTTACTCAGTATATATTTGATATATGAGCTGTATGAATGCCATGTTATGGTTGCCAGAGGACAACTCTGTGGAATCTGTTGTCTCCTTCCACCCTTACATAGTCTGTGGGATCTAATTCACATAGATCGATCGCTGGAAGGTATGCGGAGTGGAGAGGGTTTGTGAGCCTGGAATGTCCAGAGCCACTAATGTGGGTGTCTGTGCTGATGATCCACCAATCGAGAGATCCCACGAGAAAGTGCTGTATAAATAACCAGTTCAGACTTAGAAGGCTTGCCTTGAAGATACCTGCAGGTATAACGCATTGCCAAATCTATGTGAATTCCAGGATAGTGAGCTCCAGGCCAGTCAGGCCTACATAGCAGAACCCTGTCTTAGAACAGAACATCCGCAGCAACAAAAACAGTAGCTGAGAGCAAGAACAAAAGCATGAGGATGGAAGGAGCTCCCTTTTCAGAGAGAACATCAGCTCTCCTTTCTAGTCTGCCTGGGGATACAGGAAGCTCCTGGGTGCAGGGCTCTCAGTGACTAGAGGCATAGTGAAGGGCAGTTAATGCTCACCAGTTCATCGAAGCCTAGCCCAGTGCCTCCAGTAAGAAAGAATTGGATGCCTCAGGTCAGCATGTCCCTGAGCTCGGCAGGCACAGAGCTGGGGGTCTCCAGATAGGAGAGGCAAGGGACTATGGGACGCAGAGGCTGGACCCACACAGGGTTTGATCAAATTTCTTATAAGCTATTCGATCTATAATACTTACTAAAACATCAGATGCTCTTATGCTACCCAGACACCACTGCAAGAACATCCTTGTGGCAGGACTGAAGGTTTATGGGTAAGGACTGTGATCTTGACACTTCTTCAGGAAAATAAGAATACCAAGTTTCTATAATTTGCCAACCGAAAGGTATTGTTTTGGTTATTAAATTTGCTTTAATATTTTCTTCCCATAGACATCTCACCTTATAGCCGTGGGTAGTAACCTGGAGTCCAAGTCCACCTGCCTTTCGTCAGCACCCAAGGTGAGTAATTAAAGCAGGATTCAGGATCCAGAGAGATGGCTCAGCTTTTAGGAGCGCTGGCTACTCTTACAGAGGGTCCCGGTTCAATTCCCAGCACCCACATAGTGGGTCACAACCATCTGTAACTCCAGTCTCTTGGTGGGGGGGTGTCCTGTCACCATCTTCTGGCCTCTGTGGGTGCTTGTGGTGCGTAACACGCAGGCAAGACATATCTACCAGAACATATTTTTAAAGTCTCAGAAAATCTTAAATAAATACATAAACCAGTATCCAGCCATTTGTGTTATGTTTCTCACATAGCTTCATGGATCACCAAATGTTACTATAGATGGTGACCTCACAGAATGAAGCGCTAATAGATTTTAGCTGACAATTGTTTTCTGACTAGACTGACATATGTTGAACAGCAAAAACTTGGGAGATAAATAATACCGAAATAACCCATTATCTTACTGATGGGAATGATGACAATTCTTTTATTTTGTTTTTATTTATTCTTCTCTCATAGAATATATTCTTCCCAGCTCCTCCCACTACTGACCCTCTCCCCCCTAGGTCTACCCACTCCCATATCCCCCCAAGAAAAGAGCAAGCCTCCCAGGGACCGCACAACAAGATACAGTAAGACCAGGTATAAACCATCACATCAAGTCTGGTGAGACAACTTGGTAGGAGAAAAGGGTCCTTAGAGTAGGCAAAAAGAGTTAGAGACACTCCCACTCCCATTGTGTGGAGTCCACCCAAAACACCAAGCAACAATCATGAGATACATGCAGAGGACCTAGTGCAGACCCTTGCAGGCTCCATGGCTGCCTCTTTAGTCTCTGTGAGCCATCAGGAGCCCTGTGAGGTGATTTTGTGGGCTGTGCTCTCCTGGTGTCCTTGACCCTCTGGCTCCTACAATTTCTCAGCCATCTCTTTGATGGATTGCCCAAGCTCCAGGGGAGGCAACCTGGGCTCTCACTGTCCAATGTTTGGGTCTTTGCATCCGCTCCCATCAGATGTCAGAGGCTGCCTGTCTGGTGATGACTGGACGAGGCACTGATCTCTGAGGATAGCAGAATATCATTAGGAATCACTTCATTAATGTATTTGCTTCCACCCTAGGTCTCTGACCTATCCAGACTCTGGTTCCTGGTAACCCATGGGCCCCCTCTTGTGGTGTGGACCTCAAATTAGACTAGTCGTTGGTGGGCCACTCCCACCACTGTCGCTGCAGCACATCTTGAAGGCAGGACAGATGGTTGAAGGTTTTTATGGCTGAGCTGTTCCAGTGACCCGCCACTGGAAGCCTTGCCTGGTTACAGAATACGGCTGATTCGGGCTCTGTATCTTCCATTACTAGAACTAATCATTTAATTTATATTTTTCCAATAGTTTCTTTGAGAAAGTTATTGATGGTTTAGTCTGTGGAGATATATTCCCCCAGAAATATTCTGTATACAGAATCCTTGCTTATGTCTGTGTGTGGTATATGTATGTGTGCAGGCATGCTTGCACTAGTGTGTACGTATGTGTAGAGACCAGAGGACAACTCGTAATGCCATCCTCCACCTTTTTTGTTTGTTTGTTTGTTTGTTTGTTTGTATTTTTGTGGAACAGTTGCTCACCTGGCCTTGAACCTGCTGACTAGCCAGGCAGACTCATCAGCAAGATGAAGGGATCCCCTGGTTTCCACCTCCCTAAGGCTGGGGTTACAAGAGTGTGTCACTGTACCCAGCTTTTTAAAGTGGGTTCATGTTATCATGCTTGCATGACAAGCACTTTTTTTGTTTTTTTGTTAAGTTTGGTAAATGTCATGTAATGTTATATTTCTCAATTTTCTACCATCTAAGATTTAAAATTTAGGATCCTACCTAGTAACTCATACCTGTGATATCAACATTAGGAATCTAGAGGTGGGAGAGTTGCCCTAAGTTCAAGGCTAGCTTACTCTTCCAGCTTGCAGCCTGCCGGGTGGTACGTGGTGAGGTTTTGTGCGTTTCCTCTCCTCACATACACACTACAATAACATAAAATCAAACGTAGAGAACATTTGAATCACTTCAGCCAGCGTCTGAAAAATGGAACGGTTGTGAGGCCTCAGAGTTTCACAGGGAATCCCAGTTTCAGTTATTCTTATTTCGGGTGTGTGTGTGCGTGCACACGTTGTTTTGAGTGTCCTGTGTATGTGCGCGTGCACATGGACATACATAGGGTCAGAAGTTGACATCGTAGGTCTTCCTCAACCACAGGAAGCTTGGAGTTTGCCAACTGTCTCTGCTCAGCAAGCCTGAGGATCCGCCTGTCCTCTCCTCCTGAGGGGTTACAAGTGTGCAGCACTACAGCCGGCTTCTCTTGTGGGTGCTGGAGCTCCAAACTGAGGTCTTCCTGTATGCCTTCTCCCCAGCCTTTAACTGCTCGTATGTCGTAACAGACAAAGACATATTTTAAATTTTGAAATTTCTCCATATGTGCTTTAAATATTGAAGCATTTTCTTCCAGAGTGTCCCGTTAGTTTGCATTGCCGTTATTTGCATTTTCTGTGTTCTATATAGGAATCAAAAGCTTGTGAATCCACTAAATAAGTCGGAATGCGCGTGAGCTCATAACCATACCCCCTCCTTTCATAGAAAGTTACCTAACTCACTACATAGCTTCATTGCAGAATCAGGCGTAGGAGCAATATGTTCCATTTGTATTTGATTCTTTTGGATATCAACCCATTAATCACCTGCAGGAAACTTAGGAATGCTGAAACGTCACCAACATTCTACCCCAACGTCTCCTAATTCTCTTTGGCTTCTAGCATAGGGAACAGACTCTAGCTAACAGGCGCACATACTCCATCTCTTAGCACACTCTTCGCACACACATCCTTCACAGGTTAAAATGGTAGCCAGCAGGGGCAGGATGCAGGATGTGAGGTGTGGAATTGGCCTAGCAATGGGAACTGGCCTCTCCTCACATGCACCAGAGAACAAAAGGCAAGTGCACTTCTGCTGGGAGAAAGTGAGGCTGTATTGTGTGTTCTCAAAGTCACAACTCAACTCTGCAGCAATTTCTGAGCCCACCTTCGAGTCAGCTATTACTGAGGCATACATTCACTAAAACGGATGCCCACAACTTTTGACTTGTGAACTTTTTATTAGCAGTAGTAAGAAGTGTGATTGATAATCCAGAACCTCACACCTGGTACGAGTGCAGAGAACACTCGCCTATGGTCTGTGGAGTGTTCGGCCCTCAGCTGACATCTGTATTACCCTCTGTGCCTCCAGACTCAGAGCACATCACAGAGAAGGGGTACAAAGGCTGTAAGAGTTGGAGACCAGGGAGATCTGTGAGTCAGTGTCTTCTGGACATGGCAAGGCCATCACACCCGTGAGCTCACAGGTGCTGTCACTACATGCGTAATACCTGCCCAAGATCAAGTCACTGTATTCTGCCACGGATCGGGGAGGGGCAGATGAGCCCCACCTCATGCTGAGGCACAGGGCTTCAGGGGGTGGCTGTGTTCCAGTGGGTGGCGCCACACCCATTGAATATAGGAAGCATCAGCTGGACTCTGTGGATTTAAGAAAAAAAAAAAAAACAAACAGACATGAAATTGGAAAGGGGATGGGTGTGCCTTAGTTGCCTTTCTACTACTGTGACAAAGCCCATGACCAAGGCAACTTGGAAAAGAAAGCATTTAATTTGGGGTTCATGGTTCCAGAGGATAGGGTAGAGTCCATGACCTTCATTATGGGGATTATTGCAAAAGGCAAGAGGCATGACACTAGAATAATAGCTGAAAACTACTATGGAGGGAGGGAGGGAGGGACAGAGAGAGGGAGGGAGAAAGTAGGGAGGGAAGGAGAGGGGAAGAGAGAGCACACATGTATGAGACTGTAAGAAAGCATGTTAACTGTTGGTGTGGGCTTTTGAAACCTGAAATATATGAGCCTATGGCGGTCATTTTCATTCAAACCACCATATCATATGTTTTGAGAAGATCTGGGAGAAATTGGAGGACATTAATAGGGGATGAATATGATCAAACTATGTTACATTCTGTAAAAATTGTAATGCTGTGTCATGAGAGAAAATGGCAGTTCATCATAAATTATCTAACTACAACTCACAAAATTATGTCTTTATTTTTTTTAATTAAGGAAAAATCCAAACTTGGGAAAACCAGGCCTTCAGTGGGTGACCCAGCTCAGGGTACCCCTTCCTCTCTGGAGCTTTCGTCCAGCCAAAAAGGCCAGAAGAGAAGCACAGAGGCCGAAGACTCTGATGTGGAGTTTGTCTGCGTGACCAAGGTGCTGAAGAGGTCTACAAAGAAGAAAGTGAGGCACCAGCTGCCGAGTCATGCGCCAGCTCTGTTGGAAAACCTCAAGCACGTGGATGCATCGCAGGCAGGTTCCCCCCCCCCTTTTCTTTCCTTTCTTTTCTCTTATTCACAAAATGCATAATAATTTCTTTGTTCTGGAAATAGCATCTGGTAAAGGTTTTGCTTCATTTTCACATTTTTAGCTCACTCTAATTATGGGATGTACATTGCAACCTGTGTTTGCTGGATAGGGTCCCAATTTCTGTTTTTCCCCCCTGAGTTTTCTATTTTGGAAGAAAATTAGATTGCTAATACCAGCACAATGTGCAGAGCTCAGCCGTGTGATGGTGCCCCAAAGAAGGCCTGGATGGGAAAAGATCTCACGTTTGTACTTAAGAGACAGGGAAACCTTTACTTTGTAGCATTCATGCTTTTTCACCCAATAGTAAAAGTTGGGAGAGGAGGGTTGGCATCAAATATAAGTATGCTACTTAAGTGTTGAGATTGATGTTTCTGTATTTTGAATTTTGTTATTATTTGGTAATTTTGAGCGTGTGTATAATATATTTGAAACGTTTACACCCTTGCCACCCGCTTCAGCCCCTTTCTATGCCTGTGGAACTCCTTCTTCTTCCCCAAATCTTCAGACTACTAAATACATCACCCCAGAATTTCCAGTTATCCAAGTATGCGTTTCTTTTAAAGAATCACAACACACACACACACACACACACACACACACACACACACACACGGCCGTACATTGCTATCATTAATGCCTTCCTGCTGTAAGGAATTTGTGTACTAATTTGGTCACCAGCAGTGCTGGTGATGAGGATGCTAGGATGCGATGCCGGTGGTTGAGTGACATCCATCATGCACCGTGTTTAGTGCTGAGTGCTCAGAGACCCTCTCTGACTGGAGTCCTTTTAATATCTTCTGTAAACCTTACTATTGTTCACTAATGTTCCTGGTTCATCAGATTTGGCTTATTATTCCTCTTGATTGTTTCTTCTGATAAAATTCGCCCTTAAAGGGTGGATAAGGGCCACCAAGGAAAACAGTCCCAGGATTTACCCTTGTCTCTAAAGCAGTATGAGGAAACTCTTTTGAAGACCAAGTATTTACTAACTCTTGTTCCACATGGTGTGATGGGAAAAAAGATACTTTAGGTGTGGATCTTGCAACAGGAACTATTTTGAACTTCATAGAGGCTTCCCCGCCGCCGCTCCCACCCATCACACAGGTTCCTTTGAGGGATCATTGACAAACAGTAGATGCACGTACCTTTAACACCTGTGGGAAAAAGCCTTAATCCTGAATAGCGTTTTCTCATTGTATTTTGTAACCATTTGTGTTCTCAAAATAGTTGAGACCTATTTCCTTTAATTTTGAAAATTTTGTCCGTGGCCTCTTTGAGATTGTGTGAGCTCCGCCAAGCCATTTGCCATCCATCCACAGAGTCTTAAGTTTCTGTTAGTTACCTGCCACATACCTACATGTGTTTCTAAGCACTGCATGTTTATAAAATAAAAACCTGCCGAGGGTTTGGTTATGAGTCTTAGTGTCTGCTTTGAAACACTGCTAGGTAGAGTCTTTCAGATGCCTTTTGTGGTAGACTCCTGTCATAAGTTCAATGCATATCCCATTTGTCTTTCTAAATGAGGATTAATCACCTTCGCCTGTGTCCACTTTCTTGATCATCTTCTTTAGGTGTGTAGATTTCATTATGTTTATCATATCTTGTAGGTCTATATAAGCGAGTATATACCAAGTTTGTCTTTCTCCTTCTGGGATACTTCACTCAGAATGATCTTTTCTAGATCATATGAAAGAAGGGAAGTTAGTATGATATGGAAAGGATAGGAGCTCTACAAGGACCAAATATATCTGGGCACAGGGTCTTTTCTGAGACTGACACTCAACCAAGGACCATCTATGGATATAACCTAGAACTTCTGCTCAGATGTGGCCCGTGGTAGCTCAGTAACCAAGTAGTTTTCCAAAGTAAGGGGAACACGGACTATTTCTAACAGGATCTCAAGGGCAGGCTGTTTGACCACAGGGGAGGAGCAGTCTGTTAGGCCACAGAGGAGGACTTTGCAGCCAGCCCTGAAGATACCTGATAAAACAGGGTCAGATGAAAGGGGAGGAGGTCCTCCCCTATCAGTGGACTTGGAAAGGGGCAGGGAGGAGACCAGGGAGGGAGTGTGGGGTTGGGGAGGGAATGAGGGAGCGGGATACAGCTGGGACACAGAGTTAACAAAATGTAACTAAAAAGAAAACAAACAAACAAACAAACAAAATAAAATAAAATAAAATAAAAACCTTACAGTCATATCTCGTTTATTCTGGATTTTGAGAAAAACTCTTTAGCTGTGCAGTTTCAAGATTGGGGATTTGTTGTTTTGTGTGTGTGTGTGTGTGTGTGTGTGTGTGTGTGTGTGTGTATAGAAGTTACATGCTTTAAAAACACAATAGAATAAGCCAAAAATTTAGCATGTGCCCAGGTGTTAAAACCACATATTTTAGATGTTAAATATAGAGATTAACTTAGTATAATACTATATGTATGTGTGTATATACATACCTGCATATATAAACATATACATGTATGTAAAGCTAACATGAAATGAATGTATTTACCTACTGTTTGTACATACACAAACACTTTTGTAGTTTTACATAGAATATGCGTGTGTGTGTTTTCATCTTCTGTATAATCTTATTTTGGATCTTTCAGCATATGTACCCGTGTGGCTCCTCCCTCGTCAAGCTTACTATAGAACGGATTAACACTGTCACAGACAAACATAAACTGCAACTGTGGAGGCTGCCTAAGATTTTTCCCCATTGTTTTGAGAGCGTTTTACTATGTTCCCCAGGCTTCTCTCCCCCCTTAACTGCCAAAGTAGCTGGAACTAGATTTAGATGCCACTCTGCCTGGAATGTTGTTTGTAGCATTTTAAAGATTTATTTTTATTTCTATTCATGTATATGTAGATGTACACCATACCTGAGTGTACCACAGAGACTAGAAGAGGATGTCAGGTGTTCTGGAACTGGTGTTATGGACACTTGTGAGCTACTGGATATGGGTGCTGGAAACCAGACTCTGGTCCTGGACATGAGCAGTAAGAGCACCTAACTGTGCGGCCCTCTGTGCAGCCCCTGTTATGGCAGCTGTCTGTGACACAAGAGCACAAGTACTTAAACTCAGGGATTTATAACTAAGAATAGGACAGAGATGTCTTTCCAGGGGAAAATGCTCCTGCATTTTTAAGATTATATTCAATTAAACTGATAACTATAGGGGCAGAACGTTTGACACAGAGATCAATAGAGAGGATTTTACAGGGACAAAGAGTGGTAACACAGAAGGATGAAAAGGAACAGGAATCATAACCATATTAGGTCCTGGCAGCCTTGGGGGGGGGGGTTGAATTATCCTAAAAGCACCAAGGATCCACTAGAGTTTTTTGTTTTGTTTTACATGGAATAGTTGTGTGACCAGATTTTCCTTCAAAAATGGTTCGTCTGGCATAGTATAGAGGGAAGGTTAGTACAGAGTTGGTTAGAGAGGTCTCAGGTTGTGTATTCTCTTTGGCCACATAAATATGATTCATGGGCTTGGGGTACTTCCTTATCAAAAGATTAAAAACCCATAGAACCATAGACAGAGGCAGGGTTCATCTATAGCGTGTTTTGCTTATATATGCCTGTCACATGTGACATAGCATCTAATTAATTCCACTGCTCAGTCTGACTTCTTCTCGGAAGATGTGAGGTCCTTCTGCCAAATGAAAGCAATGCTGTTAGATAGCTCCCTGCACTGGTTCCTAGAGGCACACTCTGCCATGAAGGAGGGATGCACAGTACTGAGGCTTCGTTTGTGCTGTCTCTCCTTTACGTAAGGAAAGCAGTATTCCATCAGGTGATTGCCTACATTGTGTACCAATATCAATACCAACATGCAATGGGCAGAAATCCCTCTCTGCGACTGATAAATGGTACATGAGTTCTGCTCAACAGTTACACTTAAGTGGAGTCAGGGGTTTAAGTCAGGCTGTTCCCAGGCTGCTCCAGAGGAGAAATAATTGGAATGATGGTAGTGGAGATGGTCACATCTTCGTGATATATTAGGGGTACCAAATGAACAGAGAGAAAGGGCAAGAATGGCAGCTGAGTTTTGAGCTCTTTAACCTGGCTTTACAGTGATGACATCCATTGAAATTGAGGGTTCCAGAGAGCAAATAGCCTGTGAAGTTGAATTATGAATTCAATGTGAGATTTCCCAGGAGAGGAGTTGGTCTTTGCATATGTGACCCTAGATTTAGATATGAGCTGTACACAAGACACATGAGCTTATGCAGTGCTGGCACATTGAGGCACAAGTAAGGGTGAAGGGTAGCGTGAGAGGAGAGCAGACAGTTAAGGCTAGGAAGGTAACTGAACAGGACTAGCAAGTCACTAGGAATCGGGGAATAAGATTCAAAACGAGCTGGGCAAGAGGGGCTAAACTCTGTAGGTCAGAGAAATGCTTGTTGGTTTATCCAAGTGTAGCGGCAGTAGGAATAATAAAAGGAAGACTTTGTTTGCTGCTGCTGCTGCTGCTGCTGCTGCTGCTGCTGCTGCTGCTGCTGCTGCTGCTGCTGCTGCTGCTGCGGGTGGAATGCAGACAACAGAAGCCAGCTTGGGACTCATTCGCAGGTGGAGAACACAGGAAATGGTGGCAGGATGTACGCCCATATGTCGGCTCTTGAAAACTAAGTTGTTTTCATTTTGGAAGACATCATATTTATGGTAGATCAAAGAGTGAGGCAGATAGAGAGCATTTAATTTTTATAAGTATTTAAAATAAAGGTAATTATTCTTTTTGTAACATTGTTATGTGTTGTTAGTTGATCATTACATGTACTTATTTGAGTGACTTATTTCAGGCATGATATATACTCAGTAATAAGCAAATATTAGCTGTATAATATAGGACAGCCATCTGCAGACCCAAAGAAGCTAAACACTAAGGAGGACCCTAGGGAAGATGCTTAAGTCTCATTCAGAGACTTTGTCACTCATTCAGAGTGACAAACAAGATAGACACCAGACGGTAGAAGAGAGGAAACAGAATAGGGGTCCTCTGAAAGGATTCACCCAACAGGGGATCAAAAGCAGATCCTGAGATTCATGGCCAAACTTTGGGTAGAGTGCAGGGAGTCTTATGGAGGAAGAGAGGGATGGTATTAGAGAGACATGGAGGGGACAGGGGCCCCACAAGGAGACCAACAAAAGAACTGAGCCCAGGGGTTCCTGCAGAGACTGATGCACCAACAGAGGACCGTGCATGGAGATTCCTAGACCCCCTGCTTAGATGTGGCTGATTAGCAGCTCAGTCTCCATGTGGATCTCTGAGTGAGGGGATCAGGGGCTGCCTCTGTCATGAACTCAGTTTATTGCTCTCTGATCACTCGCCCCTGATGATGCAGCCTTGCCAAGCCACGGAGGAAGAGGATCCAAGTAGTCCTGATGAGACTTAACAAGCTATGGGCAGATGGCAATATGGAGAACTTCCCCTTTCAGTGGACTCTGCGAAGGAGATGAGGGGAAGAGGGAGGGAGGGTGGTACTGGGAGAGTTGAGGGAGGAAGCTTCAATTGAGATATACAATGAATAAATTGTGAAGAAAAAAAAATTTAAATATCAAAAAAGTGAGGCAGATAGAGATCATTTAATTTTTATAAGTATTTAAAATAAAGGTAATTATTCTTTTTGTAACATTGTTATGTGTTGATATTTACATGTACATATTTGAGTGATACATTTCTTGTTGCCTTTTTTTAATGTGTATATGTATGTGTATGTGTATATATTGAGAGAGAGAGAGCTTGTCCTTGGTTTGTGGTCCTTCTGTCTCAACCCTCTAAATGCTAAGATTATAGATGTGTGTTACCACAACCAGCCACAGATCAGAAGTTGAATTTCTTTAATTATTGAGCAGTTAATAGAGTCTCTATGAAGATAGAGACTTAAAAATATTTCAAGTCTCTTGAAATAGAGACTTGAAAGTGGCTTAATGTATACCATTGATTGGTTCTCATCCCTTGTTAATTTTTGTCATTATTTTAGGCATCTTTGTGGAAAGTAGAAAGGAGGCAGAGTGAAAATCTTGTACAGAAATGCAAGGCATACACTGATGTTGAAACCGGCAGCAAAGATCCAGATGTAATCCCGGTAAGATAAACTTCACTGTTGAACGACACTGTAAGACAGTTTCACATTCATAAAAAGAAAAGGGTCTGTTAGATCTGGGTAATTGAAACATGTAGTTCAGTCACTTGGACTATATGGAGGATGAATGAGCATGTCACAGAGACATTAATTGTTACTTGTGGCTGCCCTAACCAGTGGACATGAAATTAAACTATAGCCTATGATCCCTTTCTTCAGGCTGAGAGAACTTTGACATATATGTAAATGTATAAAAATTGTGCATATAGCACAGACATAGCCCATGACAGTTCAGTCTCCTAGTAATGGGAACATAGTAATAGGAACAGGGACTATTTCTGACATGAACTGATTGGCCTGCTCTTTGATCACCTCCTCCTGAGTGGGGAGCAGCCTTACCAGGCCACAGAGGAAGACAATGCAGCCACTCCTAATGAGACCTGATAGACTAAGATCAGAAGGAAGGGGAGGAGGACCTCCTCTATCAGTGGACTTGGAGAGGGGCATGCTTGAAGAAGGGGGAGGGAGGGTGGAATTGGGAGGGGAGGAGGGAGGGCCTTATGGGGGGATACAAAGTGAATAAACTAATTAATTAAAAAAAGAAAAAAATTATGCATATAATTTGAAAAGCGTATCAGAGTCCCATGTCCCAATTCAGATCACATGCAATTTTAATTATGAACTTCCATCAGAAATTGTAATTCTTTTTCTGATGTTCTTGGTCCTTGTTATTTATTGCCTATCTGCCTGTCTATTTTATGCTGCTAGGGGCCACTGAGTTACAGCATCAGTCCCTGAAGTATAATTTTGAATTGTCTTAAATTACATAGCTACCAAAAGCCCTTGGGCTAAATCTATTTAGGAAACATGGGGCACTCATAATGCATCTTCATTCTAACAAATGGTTAGTATCAAACCAACCTTGGCAACTGTGAAATCACTTTGACTTTACTAAGCCAAGTGTAACAATCTTTTGGTATTGAGGATTGATTCAAGGACTGACCGTTGTCATTGCCTTTTCACTTGTGAAGTGCTGTGAAAGGCACTGTCCATATGTTACATAGCATCCTTTTTTATTTATGAATTATTTAAATTGTACTGGACCCAATGGAGAACATATTTCTTCCAACTTTCCTTTCCTTCAGTAGAGTGTCATTGACACAGTAGGACTATAAGCCAGTTTTATTTAGAAAAAAATAAGTAAATATGGAAAATTTCAAGCAGAGCCTCATAGGGTCCCATATGCCCGTTTAACTGTGATCATCTTGGGTAGTCTAGTTTCTTCCACACTTACCTAGTCCCTGCTACTTCCTGACATCACACAAGCATACTGCAATCATTTTAAGAAACCATTAAATGAGAAAGGGAAAGAGAGAGTGAGAATGAATACATTGAAAACAAGTAATTTGTATATGGGAGGAGGGAAAAAAGTCCCCAAACCCTTATATCAGTGATCAGGAACACCAAAATCCAGGACATCCAGCAAGTCAACATGAAAGCATTTTCAAAGTTAGAAAAGAGGTCAGAGTTGAACCAAAGCTGAAAATGAAGAGAGCGACCAGCTGTCTTAAAACCTCAAGGCTTCTGTGCCACACAGTTTGACACAGCTGCCCTGGGACTGTTAGGGGTCAACACTTGTTTTACAGAGGCATCGGTTTCTTCCTGTTTGTCGCCGAGCTGTCTCACTGCCTTCAGTAAGTGCTTCTTTGGAAGTGAGTGATGCTGGCTTTGTATGGTGTGTTTCTCAAGTCCTGTTTTTTTTTTTTTTTGTGGGTGTGGTAGGTGGTTTACTCTAAATCTGCAATCTTAGTGGGGTATTCATTTTCAGACTCAAACAACAAATTAATTTGCATAAATGCGTATTAGTGAGATGCACATTAATTTCTGTTTGTAGCAGGAATAATTCAACTAGGAAGTAATTACCTATGAATGCGTATCTGTCTACTTTCTTAAAGTTAAAACAAAATGGAAGATTTTTAAGCCCTATGATCCCTCACAGTTGTCTTGTGATGACTGTGTATGTGTGTACCTGTGGTGTAGTACGTGTGTGTGCGCGCACACGCGCACATGTGTGTTTATGTGTGTTTCTTTTGGATGCTCTGCTTGTTGAATATAAAGGAGGAAAGCAGTCAGTGCTGAAAGTGGTACTGGAGGTTGTTACTTAAGGAAGAAAAATGAGCTACAACACAAGACAACCTCCCTTCACCTGCCATGCTTCTATTTATTATTTGGTGAGCTTAATTGAGTGTGGAACCCAGGGCCTTATTCACAGGGATAATAGATTCAGATATATGGTGTGCTCAGCCCACCATAGAAGTCCTTACCTCATGCTTGGCTATGCTCTACTGTACAGGTTTCCTGTTGTCTGGGGAACAATTTCGTTCTGATTAGCATATTTTTCCTTGACTGTGTTAATAATGTCTACCCACTCGCCTTTAGAAAAGATGCATTTTCACAGTAGGGTACTTAATTTTCCTCCTTCCTGCCTTTGGGTACCTCAGCGGCTCTTGTATTGACAGTTTTCTAAGTTCGGGTGAAATGATGATAACATCAATTGCCCCTCACATTCTCATTTAATTTCATCATTGTTTATTTCAGCCATGTGATCACTTGTTCTCCCAAATAACCCCACTGCTGGGCTCAGTATTCTAACCGTTTCATCTATTATCCTAACGTTTTCCTTTTCTTCTCCCTGAAATTTTTTTCTGTTTTCTTTTTTTTGAAAATAGATTTTTCCCCACACAATATATTCAGATTATAATTTCCCCTCCCCCAACTCTACTCAGTTCCTCCTTTTTCTCCCCTTCCATCTGTATCCACATCTTTTCTATCTCCACTCAGAAAACAACAGGCATCTAAGGAGTAATAATAAAATAAAAATGAGATAAAACAAAAACAAATTGGACTAGGACTGAACAAACTAAGAAAAAGAGACAAAGGAAAAAAAGAACACATGTAAATGCAGACACACACACATTTGCACACAGAAAAATCCCTTGAAAATATAAAACCAGAAGCCATAATATATATGCAAAGGCGCTGTAAGGTTAAAAAAAAAAAAGCCTAGACACATCATGAGACAAAGGACTTCCAGAGTTTCTGTTGAGTTTGTTTTGTGTTGGCCATCTTCTGTTGGGCATGGGCCCTGCCCTGAAGAGTTACATTTCAGTGCTCCTCCCTTTCTATGCCCCGTGTCACGTAACACGCCCCCACCCTACTCCCTAGGTCTTGGGCTCATTTGCCTTGTCTGCAGTTGATTCCGGCTGTGTAGACTGTTGTCACTGCTGCAGCGTTTTTTTAAAGTTTTGATACTAATTTATGCTTAGCCTTTCAGCCAGCGTAGGCCGTTCATTTTCTGAGTCCATGCCACGAGAGTGGATTACACACAGTGTTCTTGGTCAGACCTTGCACATTGTTCAGAGCTTTGGAAGTTTCCAACTGGGGCCTGGTGAGCCTGAGGCTCTTTCTAGACATTAAAACACTGTCCTGAAAATAATGAGGAGCTTTTTAAAAGATATCTTAATCCACTTTCAGACAGGCTAGTTAGCCTCCCAGTCAGATTGGTGTGGGAATCTTCATCTGAACTCCAACACATTTCTTTTGTTATTCTCCACAATTCCATTAGCCCACATGTCATTCTTTCTAACAATTTATGGAACTACTGGGATCCAAATTTATCACTTCTGTCTCTGTAAACCTGAATTGTTCCCAGTTTGGTGTGTGTGTGTGTGTGTGTGTGTGTGTGTGTGTGTGTGTGTGTGTACATGTCTGTGTCTGTTTGTGTGTATCTACCTGGATGTCTGTGTGTGTATGTGTCTGGGTGTGTCTTACGTGTGTTTGTGTGTGTATGTCTGTGTATGTGTCTCTCTATGTGTGTTTGTGTCCATATGTGATTATTGTATCTGTGTATATGCCTGTGTGTGTGTATTTTTGTGTCCACACCTGTCTCTGTGTGTCTGTATAGGGCAAGGAATGTGGGAACATCTGAGTGTTTTACTGAAATCAGTTCTCTTTTCTGTGTGGCCAGGATGAAATCTGGGTGCTGTTCTTCCCCTGTGTCACTTTATCAAATCTTCTTGATAGTTAAGGAGTATTTCCATTCTCACTTCACAGATGAGGAAAACAAAAGGTCTCTCAAGGTCACACTGCTGGAAGTGGTCACACAGCCTCAGCCATAACTCTTTCTCTTGTGAAGACCCCTTGTGACTTTTTCTCTCTTCTCTCATCACCATGACTGTAGTAACTGCTCAAATATCAATGCAGCCTCTTCCGCTTGGATCAACTGAGACATAGCAAGCTTCTCTACTCAAACATAACGACTCCAAAAAATACCTCTGCAGTATATTGTCATTAAGAAATTTGGCCTAAAGGATTTCCAGTGTTGTATAGATGAGCATCTACAGGCCAGAATCTTGAATCAATTTTTAAGGTCCAAACCATCTAAAAACTGGTATATGTACGTACACACACACACACACACACACACACACACACACACACACACACAAATGAAATCTTGCCATTGTTAGCAACATGCATAGAGCTGGAGGCTTCAAAGACAAGTCATACATGTCCTCATTTATTTCTAGAAGCTGAAAAAGTTGACCACATTGATGTCAGTAGGTAGGGTAGCAAGAGAGCAGTGGAGTGGATAATGGCTACTAAAGCACATTTCCAAAAGGAGAAATAGTATCGCGTTATATAGTGCAGAAGGGAACTGTAGTCCACAGTAATTACTCATACTATACTTTAAAATAACTGCAGAAGAGTTCAAAAATTACTAACCCGGAATATTTAAGGATATAGAAATGCTAATTACCATGACGGGCCATTCCATATTGTATACATGTGTTGACATTTGGTACTTTACCCATAGGTAAGACAAGTACTCACATGCCAATTAAAAACTCTCAATGGCCAATCCATGGGACTGGAGAAATGGCTCAGTGGTCAGGGTACTTTCTGCCTCTGCATAGGACCCAAATTCAATCCTAGAACCACTG